TATCTAGTTTCCTTGAAACCATCATGAGATCATGAAGTGGGTCCCATAGGCCTGGCAGGGTGGATACATTACACTTCATAATTATACTAAGCCGTCACTGCATGAGGAGGCAGAATGGCAAAAATGTCTTATTGATCCCAGTTGACCTTTTGAGTACTGCAGTTGCCAGAATAGACAATATAATTAAACTGATTTTTTTTTATAATATCGTTGACAGAATTTTTCACTCACTGTGTTTGTGCTTAAGTGAAACATTGTGGAAATAGTTGTAATGTAACTTTGAATTGTGATAATTAGTCTTGGTTTTTGTTTTACGTCTTAATTATGCTCCTCATATAGGGACGGAAATCAGCAGGTCGTCACACTGCACTACAGGGACTCGTTTGTAGGGCGAGCTGCACCAGGTCAGTGGGTGTAAATTATTACCAAGGAATGAACCAGTGGAAGGCTCACCTCACAGACACAGCAGAGGCTCTCCAGGGCAGGTATTTTTATATGCTACCAAATTTTGGATACACCGGTAAAATGGTGTCCAAGACGTTGGTGGTTAAGAATATACAGAGTTCGTCAAAGGTATTGTTAAGTGGCAACACGAAGCGAATTGGTCTGTACTTTGCGACGTAATATTGAAGTCTGTGTTTCCTATTGTCGCTATAAATTCATCATTGAATAAGAGCAAATAAATGATTTCTCAAGAATTCCCAACATGGTCAATCGCCAAGTCTGATTATGGAGGCACCTACATAATTGGGCCGAGTCACCGCCAGTATCGGTATTTTGTGTCACAATGTTTATCATTGTGACGAACACTAACACCTCGGTATTCAATACGTTCTACATTTATGGTCTGAAGAGCGACTTTCTTGTGGATTGTCTTGACTCGATCAATACTTATGGTTAGAGCATCACCAGAGATAGGAAGGGTACAAGCGGATTTTGCAAAGGATGTTTACGTAGTCGTGTTTGTAAAGGCCAACATGGGATTGGATTCATATAAACTGGATAAGGAGGGCATCCATCTTCGCCCTACGAGGCAAAGCTGAATTCGTTTAACTAGATCCTGACAGGCGGGTCAGGGTGAGATGATCGACTTATGTTTAGAATCGCTGATCCCCAGTCCACTCCTCCCCTCGTCCTGTAGTTCACACCTTGTTATGCTCACCCGGTGCCCCCGTGTCATGTAGTGAACCGTCGGTATGGGCGATGATTGAGTCCCTTGGGATAAAAACATAAGAACATAAGAATGGAGGAAACTGCAGCGGACCTATTGCCTCATACTGGGCAGTCCCGTTTAAACCCGACCCCTATTGCTCATAAAAGCATCCAACCTATGTTTGAAGCTATTCAACGTATTCGAGTTAACGATGATATTTAGTAACTTGTTCCATTCATCCACTACTCTGTTTCCAAACCAGTGTCTACCTATTTCGCGCCTAAATCTAAATTTGTCTAATTTAAAACCATTCTTACGAGTTCGCTCCTGGTTGGATAGTTTGAGTACCTTTGTAATGTCCCCTTTGTTTAACCCTGACTTCCATTTATACACCTCTATAAAGTCACCCCTCGCTCTACGTCTCTCGAGGGAGTGCAAATTAAGATGCTTTAACCTGTCTCTATACTCAAGGTTCCTAATTAACGGGATTAGTCTTGTCATTCTCCTCTGAATTCTTTCCAAGGATTCTATATCCATTCTGTAACACGGTGACCAGAACTGAACTGCATAATCCAGGTGAGGTCTCACAAGCGCAAGATATAATCTTAAGATGACCTCACTAGTCTTGTAACTAACACTCCTTTGTATGAACCCAAGTACTTTATTAGCCTTGTTACGACAAAAACACATTGTTTACTTGGCTTAAGGTTCCTACTTATCATTACTCCTAAATCTCACTCGCAGTCGGATTTCTCTGTGGCATCGTTGTTCATCTGGTATCTGGTTTCCCTGTTTACATCTCCTATACTAAGTACTTTACATTTGTCCACGTTGAATTTCATCTGCCATTTTTCAAACCATTGGAAATTTTTTTTTAGATGCTCCTGTAGTTTTGCGGAATCCTCATCAGATTTAATAACACATCCTATTTTAGTGTCATCAGCAAATTTACTTATGTTGCTGTCTATGCCTATATCTATGTCGTTTATATATATATATATATATATATATATATATATATATATATATATATATATATATATATATATATATATATATATATAAAATCACACGTGAAAAGGGAAACAACGGAGCACCTTAGCTTTCGTCTTTATTCAAGACATCTTCAGAGGCAACTGGATTACATGGACAGAGAGAGACTTAAATATACAGGGTGACCTTATAAAACATGAGGTCAGGTCATAATGATGTCATCCACTAATCCCCACACCAACATATATATATATATATATATATATATATATATATATATATATATATATATATATATATATATATATATATATATATATATATATATATATATATATATACATATATAAAATAATGGTCCAAGTACTGAGCCTTGGGGAACTTCACTAGTGACGTTGCTCCAATGGGGTGTAGTGCCGTTAATGCTCACTCTCTGTTTCCTGTCCTGTTATCACGCCCTAATTCATTTAAGGATATTACGTTTGATGCCATGTGCTTCTACCTTTCTAATTAGTCTTTCGTGGGGGACTCTGTCGAAGGCTTTGCTAAAGTCAAGATATACCACATCATAATTGTGCCCCTCGTCCACCGATTCGAAAACTGATGAAAAGAATGTCAAAAGAATGGTTAGACATAAACGCCCTCTTGTGAAGCAATGCTGGGAATCATTGATCAATTGGTGCTTCTCCAGGTGATTTCGAATAGTTTGAAATGATTGCTTCCAGTAATTTGCCTACTATTGATTGGACAGTAGTTAGAGGATACTGATCTATCCCCCTTCTTGAAAATCGGTATTACATTCGCTATACTCCAGGATTCTTGTACTACACCTGTTTTTAAGGACATGTTAAACAACTTTGCTAAGGGCATACTAAGCTCTTCCTTACCTTCCTGTAATACTCTGGCAACTATCTCATCTGGACCAGGTGACTTATTAGGCTTTAGTTTGTCTATTTGCTTACTAACATCGTTACATGTCACTACTATCTCGCTTAATTTGTTTTCTTCATTATCTCTGAATAGAGTCGGTGCTTCGGGTATCATGTTTAAATTTTCGGTGGTGAAAACTGTTGAAAAATATTTATTCAAATTATTGCTCATTTCTCCGTCGTTATCAGTTAGCTCGCCGGTATCTGACTGTATTGGTTCAATCTTTTCTCCTGTTTCAGTTTGATACATTTGGGAGAATCCTTTGGGGTTTGTCTTCGTCTCCCTAGCTATCTTCACGTCATTATTCCTCTTAGCTTTCCTTATCTCAGTCTTAACCCTACTGGCCAATACCTTATAGTAATCCCGGAAGTAAATTTTGCCACGGTTTATCCTTGTATCTATAGCCTTCCTTTGGCCAATAATGTTCTTTAAATAATTATTTATCCATTTAGGGTCATTGTTGTCTGATATGAGTTTTTTGTATGGTATGTTCTGCCTTTGTGCATTAAGTAACTCATTATTTAAATTGTCGTGGAACTCGGCAATCTCAGATCTCGTTATCAGGTCGGTTTCAACCGTCAGGTTCACCCCCAAGTGCGACACCCCCTCCTTCAACTGCCTGTTTAAACTATCAAAGTTTGCCCTTCTGAAATCTGGGACTTTTGCGGAATTTTCCTTAAGTCTGCCCTGAAAATCTAACTGGAATCTGATGGCTGTTTGCAAGTTTGTTCCCTACCTCGACATTGTTAATGAGGTTTTCTCTGTTCGACAGAACTAAATCGAGTATATTATTACCCTGGGTGGGTTCAGTTATATGTTGAATTAGGAAACAGTCTTGGATCGTTTCGAGAAAATCCTCTGATTCTGAGTTACCAGTAAGGTCAGTCCAATCTATTTGGCCAAAGTTAAAGCCGCCTACTATACAGATTTTGTTGTGTATGGAAGCCCTGCGCATTTCATCCCAGATAAGTCGCTCATTAACTCTATGAAGATTGGGAAGTCTATATATTACGCCTGTGATTAATTTTTCCCTACGGTCGATTAATTCTATCCAAATTGTTTCTGTATTCCGCTCAGTTTTTATTTCCTTATTTATTTCACACTTCAGATTATCCCTGACATAGATTGCTACTCCGCCTCCTTTCCTGATCTGCCTATCTATATGGAACTATTTGTAACCCGCAATTTGGTATTCGACAGGTAACTCACGTGAGTCTAGGTTGATCCATGTTTCAGTGAATGCTATTATATCGATTTTTTCGGTACATACCAAGACCCTAATATCATCCATTTTGTTTTTCATACTTCTACTGTTCGCGTAGTAGACATTTAAGTTAGTCGTGTTCTGAGTCCTCCCTTTACCGTGTTTAGGTTTTAACCCTGTCTAATTTAGTTTTGTCATCATTCCTAACACTATTTCCCTGTAATCTTTCACTTTGTTTACCCGTTCCCACTGCAGTCTCCTCCACCCCCGTGCCCATATGTTCCCCTAGTAGTTTAAAGATTTCGATATCATCTGAACTGCTCCCTCTAGAGACCCAGCCAGGGTTGCCACCCCATCCCGAGATGGGTGCACCCCGTCCCTAGCATAATGGTCCCTTCTGCCGTAGAAGTTGTCCCAGTTGTCAATGAATGGGACTGATATTGACTTGCAATATCTCTCAAGACGGCAGTTGACACCAACTGCCCTTGACAACCATTCATTGCCAACTCTCCTTCTAGGCAGGACACCACATATGATAGGAATCCTTCCCTTTGTCCTAATACGATCTATAGCTGTCTTGAACTTATCAAGAAGGTCCTCGCTCCTACACCGGCCACTATCATTGCCTCCTGCACTGAGGCAGATATTGGGTTTGTTCCCATTACCAGACTAGATATTTTCCATTCTGTCAACTATATCCCCCACCCCAGCTCCTGGCAA